CAATAAGTTACTAGCAAACCAAAGTCAACAATACATTAAAAAAATCATTCACCACGATCAAGTGGGATTTATTCCAGGGATACAAGGGTGGTTCAATATTTGCACATCAATCAACATGATACATCACATCAATAAGAAAGAATAAGGACCATATGATGATTTCAATAGATGCAGAGAAAGCATTTTACAAAGTACAATATCTTCATGATAAAAAACCCTCTTAACAAAGTAGGTTTAAAGGAAACATACCTCAACATAATAAAAGTCTTATATGAAAAATCCACAGCTAACATCATCCTCAATGGGGAAAAACTGAGAGCTTTTCCCCTGAGGTCAGGAACTAGACAAAGATGTCCACTCTCACCACTTTTATTCAACATAGTACTGGGAGTACTAGCCACAGCAATTAGACAACAAAACGAAATAAAAGGCATCCAAAATGGTAAGGAAGAAGTAAAACTTTCACTATTTGCAGATGACATGATACTCTATAATGAAAACCTGAAAGACTCAGCCAAGAACTACTAGAACTGATAAACTAATTCAGTAAAGTCACAGGATACAAAATCAGTGTACAGGAATCTGTTGAATTTCTATGCACCAGTAATGAAATAGCAGAAAGAGAAATTAAGAAAGCAATCCCATTTACAATTGCACAAAAAGTAATAAGATGCCTAGGAACAAACCTAACCAAAAAGGTGAAAGAACTATACTCTGAAAACTATAAAACACTGAGAATGAAATTGAAGATGACACAAGAAATAGAAAGACATGTCCTGTTCATGGATTGGAAGAACAAATATTGTTAAAATGTCTGTGCTACCCAAAGCAATCTACACATTTAATACAATCCCTATCAAAATACCAACAGCATTTTTCACAAAACTAGAACCAACAATTCTAAAATCTGTATGGAACCACAAAAGACCATGAATAGCCAAAGCAATTTTGAAAAAGAAAAGCAAATTGCTGGAGGCATCACAATTCTGGACTTCAAGTTATATTACAAAGCTGTAGTAATGAAAGCAGTGTGGTACTGGCACAAAAATAGACACACAGATCAGTGGAACAGAATAGAAAACCCAGAAATAAACCCATGGCTATGTCAATTAATCTTCAACAAAGCAGGAAAGAATATCCAACTGTTGGCAGTCTCTTCAACAAATGGTGTTGGGAAAACCGGACCACTTTCTTACACCATATACAAAGATAAACTTAAAATGGATAAAAGACCTAAATGTGAGACCTGAAACCATAAAAATCCTAGAAGAGACCACAGGCAGTAATGTCTCCGACATCAGCTGTAACAATATTTTTCTGGATACATCCTCCAAGGCAAGGGAAATAAAAGCAAAAATAAACTATTGAGACTACATCAAAATAAAAACTTCTGCACAGCAAAGGAAACAACAAAACTAAAAGACAACCTATGGAATAAGAGAAGATATTTGCAAATGACATATCCAATAAAGGGTTAGTTTCTAAAATATATAAAGAACTTATAAAACTCAACACCCCCAAAACAAATAATCCAATTTAAAAATGGCAGAAGACATGAAAGACATTTCTCCAAAGAAGTCATACAGATGGCCAACAGACATATGAAAAGATGGTCAACATCACTCATCATCAGGAAACGCCAGTCAAAACTACAATGAGATAGTGCCTCATACCTGTTAGAATGGCTAAAATCAAAAACACAAGAAACAACAAGTGTTGGGGAGGATGTGGAAAAAAGAGAACACTCATGCACTGTTGATGAGAATGCAAACTGGTACAGCCACTGTGGTAAACAGTATAGAGTTTCCTTAAAAATTAAAAAGAACTGTATGATCCAGCAATCACACTATTGGGTATTTGCCCCAAAAATACAAAAACATTAATTCAAAGGGATACATGCAACCTGGTGTTTATAGCAGCATTATTTATATTTAATCTTAAAAAAAAAATTCCTTGGATTGGGGCGCCTGGGTGGCTCAGTCGTTAAGTGTCTGCCTTCTGCTCAGGTCATGATCCCAGGGTCCTGCTCAGCAGGGGGCCTGCTTCTCTCTCTCCCACTCCCCCTGCTTGTGTTCCCTTTCTCTGTGTCTCTCTAATAAATAAAATCTTTAAAAAAAATTCCTTGGATTGAAGTAATGTCTTTAGACTAATTTTAGTGAAACTGTGTTAGGTTTTTATACATCTGCTGAAAGCAAGTATAATTCTCTAGATTAAAGAATTAAGTAGTATTGTAGAGGAATGGAATATGGTTCATTATTTTTCATTGTTTAGTTATTGAAAATAGTGACTACCCAGGTAGGCATAAGATCTTCAGGGTAAGTACACTTGTCAGCTTGTTTGTGTTTATAACTTACATGATTAATTCAAATGACTAAGTAGTGAATTTGAAAAGCCCATAGAAGTATATGGGAAACTTTGACTCATCCATCATGATCATTACTAACGATATTATCACTTTGCTTAAAATCATTAAAAAACTGTCTTTGAAAAAGTGAAGACTATTGGGGCGCCTGGGTGGCTCAGTCATTAAGCATCTGCCTTCGGCTTAGGTCATGATCCCAGCATCCTGGGATCGCGTGTTGGGCTCCTTGCCCAGTGGGGAGCCTGCTTCTCCCTCTCCGGCTCCCCCTGCTTGTGTTCCACTCTCGCTGTCTCTCTGTGTCAAATAAATAAATAAAATCTTTTTAAAAAAAGAAAAAGGAAAAGTTAAGACTATCATCAAATTTGCCAAGAGAATATAGTTAGGTACAATTTAAGTTGTAATGTGTATTCTTTTTTTAATTTTTTAAAATTTTTAAAAGGATTTTATTTATTCATGAGAGAGGCAGAGAGAGAGAGAGAGAGAGAGGCAGAGGGAGAAGCAGGCTCCCAAGGAGCAGGGAGCCTGATGCGGGACTCGATCCCAGGACCCTGGGATCATGACCTGAGCCAAAGGCAGACGCTTAACCATCTGAGCCACCCAGGCGCCCATGTGTATTCATTCTTAATATTAGGACTATTCTTACTCTAAATAAAATTAGTTAAAGCTATTGAAGGTACTTTTATCACTTAAGGAATAATAATAACAAAACATATTGTGCTTATTCTGTGGCAGGCATCTGTTCTTTGTGGGTTTTTTTTAATTTTTTTTATTTTTAAGATTTTTTATTTATTTATTTTTGAGAGAGAGAGAGAGCACATGAGGTGGGGGGAGGGTCAGAGGGAGAAGCAGACTCCCTGCTCGGCACTCCAGGATCGGGACTCCAGGATCATGACCTGAGCTGAAGGCAGTCGCCCAACGAACTGAGCCACTCAGGCGCCCTGTTCTTTGTGTTTTATGTGTATTAATTCATTTTATCCTCAGAGCAACCTTATAAGGGAGATACTTTTAGAATCTTTGTTTTAAAGATAGGGTGGATAATTTTCCGAAGGTCACCCTGCAACTAAATTACAAAGGGAGTATTTAAACACAGGCAGATTCGGTTTTGACTACTTTGCTATACTGTGTGTACTTTGGTTTTAAGCAGTAGGAACTGGCTCTGTTTAATTTATGCAAAAGGAAATTTAGTGGAGGCACTCAGAATCAGTTTGACTGAAGAATGGGTTTGAGAATGAACAGAGACCAGGCTAATTCCAGTTTGTGAAGCAGGTTGAAGGAACCCAGGACAGAAGTCTCATCAGTCTGGATAGGATCACTACTGAACTTACTGCATTTCATAGGCATTTTGCTCAAGTTTCAAATTCCAAAAAGAAATCAGTTGGTTTACTTTGAGTAATATGCCCTTCATTTGACTAGGGGAGAATAGAGCATGTGAATTTCAATTCTACTAGATTGTCATGAGGAAGAAATACTAAAAGTAAATACTTGAAATTGTGATAATACTGGATAAGGGAAACATACACAGGCCAGGTAGATCTAACAAATTTACACTGTTGCAACTCCACAGGAAAACAATTCATTCAGAAAACAATTACTGAGTACCAGCCGATAGACTCACGCTGTTCTTTATCACTGATAGACGCACACTGTTCTTTATCACTGCTCATCACGGGTGCTGAAGCATGTGGCAAAAATGAATGAAATTTGTGAAACCAATCAGTGATTTTACCAATGCCAAGTCACGGTCAAAACCTTTAAAAAAATGTTATTGATTTTATTAACATAAGATTTCTTTTTAAAATTGAAAGTCACATTTCTAAGTATGACAAAACAAGTTGTTTTAGCCAAAAGCAATGAAAGCCCATATTAAAAAATACATTGGGTCCAATTTTTAACAATTATGTTTCTCAGCCTAAGTAGACTTTCTACTATACTGTATTGCCTCCCTGTCTCTGATAGATATCCTCATAATTCAATTTTTAATGCAATGAGAAGGGGCTATACTCATTAAAATCAGAAAAATTACTTGAGTTTCAATACCGCACTCATAATTGCACTCCCAAATTTAGAGAAAAGAATTCCTTTCCTAAATTATCAAGAGTATTGCTTTAATAGTCTCATGATTTTGCTTAGTGCTGGCTTGGACTAATTAACTTTTCTATAAATGAAGCTAGTTGATTTTTTTTTTAAGATTTTATTTATTTATTTGCCAGAGAGAGAGAGAGCATGAGAATACATCAGGGGGAGCGGCAGGCAGAGGGAGAAGCAGGCTCCCCGCTGAGCAAAGAGCCAGATATGATGAGGACTCTATCCTGACCTGAGCCGAAGGCAGATGCTTAACTCACTGAGCCACCCAGGAGCCTCTGAAACTAGTTGGTTTTTGAAAAAGAAATTCTAAATAAGGGCTGTATAAATTTAAATGACTATTTTGTTACAAGACAAAAAAGGCTTTAATTTTACATAGGTTTAGAAATATCTCTTTAACATTTCCTCCCTATGGTGTACTCAGCACTTTTTCATGGCCTATTTAGTAACAAAAGTTATTAAAAACAATTTTTATGTATGTTTAAATGTATGTGTGCATATATGTTGTATATGTGTGTTTTATATATTTATAACATTTTAAATAACTTCAAAATAGGAACAAAAAGTCCAGTTACATCTTCTGGCTAAAGAAGATCATCAGAAGCAACTGAATGAAATTGAGAAATATTATGGCACGATAACAGGTCAATTTGGATTGGTAAAAGAGAATCATGAAAAGTTAGAACAAAATGGTAGGTATGATCTTATTTAAACATATATTTAATAGGGAGTGGTTAAATGAGCTTATTTATAATAAATAAATTGAACTTATCTGCTACTGGTAATATTAAGTAGCATTTTAATATTATTTAAATTCAATAATAATTACATACATTGCATTGAGGCTATTTTCCCTGTCCATTTTAGTGATACTTTTCCTTAAATTGATTTTGAATATAATATTTTTCTAAATGTTTTTCATGTTGCAGTACAGGAAGCAATACAGCTAAACAAAAGACTTTCAGCTTTAAATAAAAAACAAGAATCTGAAATATGCAGTTTAAAGAAGGTATGATTGATACAGTTTTATAGTATTAGGTAAAATTATAGTCTAGTTTTATGAAATAGTATTAGAAAAAGTTGGGTAGATTTTTTTGGTATAAAGAAAAATACGTTTTAAATACAGATTCACAAACTGTGAGTTATGATTCCAGTAAATGTAATGAATGAATTTGTTCTAACCCATTCAAAATATTCTTTGTCACCATTGGCATGCCTTTTTATGGTGACCTGAATAGCCAGTATTTACTGTATGTCAATCTCAGCACCATTTATTCATTCACTCTTTTTTTTTTTTTAAAGATTTTATTTATTTGACAGAGAGAGACACAGTGAGAGAGGGAACACAAGCAGGGGGAGTGGGAGAGGGAGAAGCAGGCTTCCCGCGGAGCAGGGAGCCTGATGTGGGGCTCGATCCCAGGACCCTGGGATCATGACCTGAGCCGAAGGCAGACGCTTAACGACTGAGCCACCCAGGCGCCCCTATTCATTCATTCTTCATTCATTCAATACTTGAATAACTGTGTGTGTCAGGTACTATGTGGCACTAAGGATACAGGTCTGAAAAAAATAAAACATTTCCCTCCTTTTTTGAAGTTTATAGTCCAATGGAGGAGTTAGACACAAAATACATAATCACACAGACCAAATAATTTAAAACTGTTGTAAATGATACGAAGAAAAAGGTTGTGATGACATTACAATAGGTGGATTTATTACATTGGAGGTGAAGGGATAGGGACAGAGGAGAATAATGTTTCAGGCAATAGAGATGTCCCCATACTGGACCCCCAAAACAGCAAGAAGATAAGTTACTGGAACCCAGAAAGAGAGCATCACATAGAGTAGGTAATACTCTGGCAAGGAGAACAGCATGTGCAAAAACCTTGAGGTAGGAAAGAATTTTAGCAATCGCTGCTCAGACCTTTGGCTAAGATTAAGTATAGGCGAGAGTTTGGTATATGTGAGGGACTGGAGAAAGTCTGGTATGGCTGGAGCATCATGAGTGAAGGACTACATTGGACATTGAGATCTAAATTGGCAGAAGGCCAGGGCGCCTGGGTGGCTCAGATGGTTAAGTGTCTGCCTTCGGCTCAGGTCATGATCCCAGGGTCCTGGGATCGAGTGCCGCATCGGGCTCCCTGTTCCTTGGGAGCCTGCTTCTCCCTCTGCTTCTCTCTCTCTGTCTCTCATGAATAAATAAATAAAATCTTTAAAAATAAATAAATAAATAAATTGGCAGAAGACCATAAACATTTTATTCCTCATGTCACAGTCATTGGCTCCAAAGTAGAAAAATGGCCTTAGTGGTTATAAACCAGGAAGAATATAACCCCCACCGTGGTTGTCAGTCATTTACAAAAATTACACCCCAAACCTCAACAAGTCATTTTGGCAATACATATTTTGGATTCAATAAATAAATGAATATGGATGATATTGTTCATATATATCATAACTTTTGAGGAAAATTTAAATTTGGGATCAATGTTTTCATCTTGGTTTTAAATGGAGTCTGCTTTTAAAAGGAAAGAAAAAACACTCCAAGCACTTACAGCTATATGTATACGTTGAATTTCACTGTTTTTGTTTAATTTAAATTAATAAACTTTATTTTTTAGAGCATTTTTTAGCTTTACAGCAAAACTGAATGGAAAGTATAGAGCGTTCCCATATACTACCTAACCCACACATGTGCAGTCTCTCCCACTATCAACATCCTGTACCAGAGTGATGCATTTGTTACAACTGATGAACCTACCGTGACACATCAGTATCATCCAAATTCCATTGTTTACATTATGATTCACTCTTGGTTTTGTACTTTATCTGAGTTTGGGCAAATGTTTAGTGACATGTGTCCACCGTTTTAGTATCATACAAAATAGTTTTACTGCTCTGAAAATCCTCTGTGCTCTGCCTTTTCATCTGTCCCTCCCCCAACCCTTGGAAACTACTTCTCTTTCTACTATTTCCACAGTTTGGGAACATTTTCCAAAAGGTTACAGAGTTGGAATCATATAGAATGTAGCCTTTTCAGATGGGCTTTTTCAGTAATATGCATTAAGTTTTGTCTAATGTCTTTTCATGGCTTGGTAGCTTTTTTCTTTTTTTTAAGTACTGAATAATATTCCTTTGCCTGGATGTACCACAAACTATCCATTCTATAAAGGACATTTTGATTGCTTGCAAGTTTTGGCAGTTATGAATAAAACTGCTATAAATATCTATGTACAAGTTTTTGTGTGCACCTAAGTTTTCAACTTTTTTGGATAAATACCAAGGAGCATGTTTGTTTGGATTGTATGGTAAGAGTATGTTTCATTTCGTAGAAACTGCCAAACTGCTTTCCAAAGTGGCTATATCATTTTGCATGCCCACCAGCCATGAATGAGAGTTTTTGTTGCTCGATATCCTCACCAGCATTTGGGGTTGTCAGTGTTTTGGATTTTGCACATTCGTAATAGGTGTGTATGGTATCTCTTGTGATTTGTAATTCCCTAATGACATATGAAGTTGAACACCCTTTCATATGTTTACTTGCGATCTGTGTATCTTCTTTGGTGAGATGTCTGTTCAGATCTCTTATCCATTTTTTTTTTTAAAGATTTTATTTATTTATCTGAGAGAGAGAGAATGAGAGATAGAGAGCACGAGAGGGAAGAGGGTCAGAGGGAGAAGCAGACTCCCCGCCGAGCGGGGAGCCCGATGCGGGACTCGATCCCGGGACTCCAGGATCATGACCTGAGCCGAAGGCAGTCGCTTAACCAACTGAGCCACCCAGGCGCCCTCTTATCCATTTTTTAATTGAGTTATTTGTTTTATTATTGTTGACTTTTAAGAGTTCTGTGTATAATTTGGATAACAGTATCTTTATCGGATATAGCTTTTAAAAATATTTTCTCTCAGTCTGTGATTTGACTTCTCATTCTTTTGATATTGTCTTTTGCAGAGCAGAAGTTTTTAATTTTAATGAAGTGCAACTTATCAAATTTTTTTGTGTGTGGATTGTAAGTTTGGCATTGTACCTAAAAGGTCATTGCCTTACACAGGGTCAACTAGATTTTCTCCTGTATTATCTTCTAGGAGTTTTATAGTTTTGTATTTCACATTTAGGTCTGTGATCCATTTGAGTTAATTTTTATGAAGAGTGTAAGGTCTCGGTCTAAATCCCCCCCACTTTTTTTTGCATGTGAATGTCCAGTTGTCCCATCACCATTTGTTGAAAAGATTAGTTTTGCTCCTCTGTCAACTATCAGTTGACTGTATTTATGTGGATCTGTTTCTCGGCTCTCCTATCTGTTCCATTGATCTAATTGTCCGTTCTTTCACCAATACCACACTGATTTGATTACGGTAGTTTTATAGTAAGTGCTAAAGTTGGGTAGTATCAGTCCTCTAACTTTGTTCTTCTTCTCCTTCAATATTAAGTTAGGTATTCTGGGCCTTTTCCCTCTCCATAGAATTAGTTTGCTAATATCCACAAAATAACTTGCTGAGATTTTGACTGGGATTGTAATGAATCTATAGATCAAGTTGGGAAGAACTGACATCTTGAAAATATTGGGTCTTCCTATTCATGAATACGGAATATCTCTCCATTTGTTTAGTTCTTTGGTATCTTTCATTAGAGTTTTATAGTTCTTCTCATGTAGATCTTATATATAGTTTGTTAGATTTTTTACCTAAGCATTTAATTTTTGCTTAAAAATTGTAGCAAAAATTAAAAGTATGAGATCATAGAAAATATCTGCCCTCATTTTCTATCACTTGTAATTTCCTAAGTGATAAAAGCACTATCTCTTGTTCTAATATCTGGTCTTTCACCCTGACCCTGACACTGGGCTCCTAAAACCCTTATAAATTCCTGAGTGATAAGAGCACTAGGAGCATCTTTTGTTTTAATGATGTGACTCTGAGTGGGATCCTGGATGGCTCCTGGATGGGGGTTGGTCACCAGAAAGAGCAAGTCATGATTAGAAGCTTAACATTTTTAGCCCTGCTTCTCCCCTACCTCCCTCTACTCCACAGGAAAAGAGCCTGGAAATGGAGTTAATAATTGATCATGCCTACATGAGGAAGTCTCCATAAAATCCCAGTAGTATCATTTCAGAGGGAGGGTTGATACACTCCAGCTCCATGAGGACAGAATCCCCTGTGCTCAGGACCCTCCCAGATACTGCCCTTTGTATATCTTCATCAGGCTGTTGATCTGTATCCTTTACTGTATCTGTTAAAAAACTAATAAACTTGTGTTTTGCAGAGTTCTCTGAGCTGTTCTGGCAAATTAATGGAACCTAAGAGGGGGATCATAGGAACCTCTATTTATAGCCAATCAGTCAGAAACATCTGGACTTGTGATTGGCATCTGAAGTGGGATGGGAGCAGTCTTATGGGACTGAGCCTTTAACCTTTGGGATTTGGTCCTGCCTTCAAGTAGATAGTGTCAGAAGTGAGTTAAATTGTGGGGACATTCAACTGGTGTTGCAGAGAATTGCTTGGTGGGGGAAAACCTCCACATATTTGGTGACCAGAAGTGTCAGAAGTGTTCTGTGTAAAGGAGCCACACAGGAAAAAAAACACAGGAGGAAGAACTGGATTTTTCCTTATACAAGAGGGAAGAACTGTAGGTTTTTCTAGTACAGAAAGTGATTGACTTTTGTATATTAATATTATATTCTACAACCTTGGTATAATCACTTATTAGTTCCAGGAGGTCTTTGTTGGATTTTTTTAGATTTTCTACATAGTCAATCATGTCATCTGTGAACAAAGCCAGTTTTATTTCTTCCTTCCCAAATCTGTATATCTTTTTGTTTTGTTTTGTTTTGTTTTATTTCCTATTCTTGTCTTGTTACATTAGCTGGGGCTTCCAGTATGGTGTTGAAAATTTGGTGAGAGGGGACATCCTTGGCTTGTTCCTGATTTTAGAGGGAAATTGTGAAGTTTCTCACCATTAAGTTTGATGTGAGCTGTATGTTTTCTTTCTAGATGCTCTTTATCAAGTTG